GGGAAAATTGAAATAAAAGGATATTATAATGATTATAAGAAAATAATGCTTAGCAAAGACAAATAAAAAACCTAGGTTTCCTCATTTTGAAGTGTAAAAAATGAAGTTTTAGCTGGAGAGACTTTTCTGAAAACTGTCAAATATTATGTCTACGAAAATATTTCAGAGTAAGCCTTGATTGTTGACTTTATTAGGCATTGACACTTTTTGTATAAGTATTACTTAGAAATAGCAAAGGTAATTCACTATATATCACATAGAAAGTTCTTACAACCTTAAACAACCCGTATGTTTCTTTAAGAGCAAAGTTATTCAGAATTAGTCTTAATTTGCATACTTGTTAAAAAGAAGAACTTAGACTGCTCACTGGTTACGAAGAAAATTTTTTTTTTATTTTATTTGTTTTCTGATAGAGCTTCATAGACCTTTTATTTCAATCTTCTTTTTTTTATCAAAATTCTTCGTTCTTTTTCTTTTGCTTAATTTAATCTTGAAAACTGCCACAGTGAGAAAGCGAGAAACGGAAACAGATGAAAATATGTAGAATCTAGTTGATGAGACATGATTGAAACTATAGTTACGATTTTTAAGAGTAACTGAGCTTAAAAAAAAGTTGTTTCTTAGAAGCTGAACTCCGCCATGTAACTGTCAAATTACTGCTTACATCAGAAGCAAGGAACTGGTCTGCGCTTGTATCAAGTTGCCTTCGACCAACAAATTTTCAAGATTTTCAGGAAACATGGCGTGTGTAAAAAACGCTTCAGAGCTTTGTGCTGTTGAGGACAAATTGTTATTGCAAATAAAATTAGAGCTATTTACAGTGCCATAACAACCAGTTAAGAGTCATAAACAGTTTATGTGCGATTTAGACTAACTAGTTGCGTTTACAAGCGTAAAATTTATAGAAACGAAAAAATATAATTTAATCAAACATTTTTTTCATGCTCATACTTGAACCGCTATTTACACTTCTTAGCAGTGTTTTAGAACTTTGTAAAACGGCTTGTACTGGCAGCATGGCATTCATTTATTT